CCTACTGCTCAGTCCTACCTGTGGCCTTATTCACGTATTTTGTAACAGTCAAAGTAACGTTAACGTCTAACGTTTAGAAGTCGTCCTATTGAAAAACAGTCTTAAATCCGTATTCACATGTCATTCGATAGAACGATTACTCGATAGGATCGCAACTCAGCTATTTGTCATTTTGACGTTAATCACTGAAATCCGATTAAACCTAACTTCAAAATAAGTAATAGGTACGATCGAACACGCATAAAAACTAATCGAAACAAAATCGGGCGATTAATACGTGAATACGAAAAGTGACTCCAGCGATCAAATCGCTTGCATGTCTTTGAAGTTTTGATACGAGTATGTGAATTAGGCCACTGGTAGAACCATGGAAAAAGTATTTTGCAGAGGTCCTACATTGGTAGGTGTTATGATTTTATAAGGTTAGTTGTACCACCGAAAAACTAAATTACCCGTAATACTACCAGTAGAATTGAGCAGAAGGTTCACGGGCAATGTATGGTGTAGATACAGACAACGGTACACCAAAAGATCTATAATTCCTTAGTAATAAAAGTTACACGCGTGTTGAACACAGTTTTACATACTATATTCAACATGCATGTATATTTTATTAGTCAGGGGGTGATAAGTAAAGCTTCAACCACACCAACGCGTGCAATCGCCATCGCTTGTACGATCAAAGGCCAATGACAGGTCGCGCGACCCATGAAAGTCCGCGCGACCTGTCATTGGCCTTTGATCACGCCGCGATGGCGATATGCACGCGTTGGTGTGGTTGAAGCTTTAGGCAGTAAACTGATATTTGAGTCGTGGTCTACAAAAATGACAAATTTCAAATGTCATTTTACTGCCTGGAATCAAAAACTATGCCTGTAGACAATGTGACATTTGTTTTTGATTCAGAATCGTGATCGCTTCGCTACTAATATCACATTTGCTGCAAAATAATACATGTTCGCGCGCAACTTTTTGGAATTAATCGATAACAAAAATGTCATATTGTCTAGAGACCCTGAGAACTACGGTTTTGAAAATTGTATTCGTCAAAAGCAGCGCTACTTGAAGTGGTGCTGCTGGTTTTGTAACAAAAATGCATAGCTTTGTACTTTAGGAGGTATACATTCTCTTTAAAAATAGGTATTTTACAAAACACCATAAACAACAGTAGGTACATAATATACTTAGCTTTATTTAATTATCTCGTCGTTTATCTGTGGTAGTTTGAGGTACTTTTAGAGTCAAATATTTATATTTTTAATTAAAAATCTCGTGTTTTTATGATCTCTACTGTCCTGATATTTTCAACACTATTCGTCTCTCCCACTCATCCGCTAATGTTGCGCTGAGCGACAGCGAAGATATATTTGGCGACATCACACAAAATCGTCGAAATAGCATTATCGTTTATTCATTCAAGCTAATTTCAAAACTACCATATATTGCCCATTTCTTCCAACATCTTTGGTTCGATTAATCGCGTAATGTATTCGCATAATCTTGTTAACGCATCCAGTGTTGTCAATCACCCTGTAATAAAAAAACATATATTTTTTGTTTTATACATTGTTAACTACTTAAGTCTTATATTGTCTATTTTTTTTATTTCTCACTAACAACAATATTATCAAATAAAGTTTTTATTTGAGCTTGCGACACGCCCTACATACATTGTTTTTGCTTAATTATTTTGGCTTTCTTACTCCAATGTAATCAATATAATCGATAATATTAACTGTTACGAGTAGGATTTAATATAATGCTTAGATTGTGTAGTGTTTTACAAGTCAATTAGTTGTTCGTCTGATAGTCATCGTAAAGAAATAATTGCGTCAAAATAATAGCGTGTAACTAATTGATATATTTGATTGTGCTAAGATATATAAAAACTGGTGAGTCGTTGAAGCTCAGAAGATAATATTACGCTATAGGTATGCACTAGGCAGCTAGTTTTAGCAACTAATAAATAATCCACATTTCAGTTTGTAAAACATTTTCATGTGTAGATCTGGATAGTGTAGTATTTTTTATGTATATTTTGCTACTGCAAATTGTGTTTTTGGAATCCTTTTTATTTTTATAAAAGTTAAACTCAAATTAGATGTTGTCATACAGGACCTATCTAATCACCCAGTGGCAATTTGCAGTATGCATTTGTTTTTATATTCATATCATACAAAGTTAATACCTACATACTACAGTAGGTATTTCTTAGCACACGAGAAAAGTGCGACATCTTGCTCTAAAGTATTTATTGTGCTTAATATCAACATATAAATCGTTAGTGTAAACTTACATAAAATAAAATTTATGAAGACTAAGTTTACGCAAGTCAACGTATTCTCAATGAATTCACAAAATTACTTGTTAAAAACAAACAACAATCAAAATGTATAAAGTTAATAAATTCGATGTAAAAAATTAACAAGAATGGCTAAAGAAGAATTATATTGGTCATATGTTTTAGTTACTAAGCGTAGGCGCAGACCACCGACTTTAAGTTGGCCGATAGTTGGGTCGAGCTGTTAATCAGTATGGACATGTATAGATGACCCACGCTGAACTGTCCCACCAAACTCAATGACAGGGGGGCGCTACTATCGTTCAACTATATGGTTTGCAACATGGCAAAAATCTGAACCAGCGATTCGGTATTGACGGTGGCGCCCCACTGTCAATGTCATCGACAGGACAGTCCAGTATTTTGGAACTATATGAAAGTGCGCACATTACTTTTTTTAAGCATAACAAGGCAGTTAATTGACCACAATCGCACCTGATTTGGCATTCTTCATACAAATTAGAATCGGGCTCAACTATCGGCCAACTTAAGAATCGGTGGTCTGCGCCTAGACTAAATGTGAAATTACTAGAACTCAAGTTTTTTACAAAAATGAATGGAAGTCTGATTGGTATGTGATAGGGATTATTGTCCAAAAAGGACATATTATTTGGCGTGAAAATATTTTTGTTATGAACATACTCACTTTTACTTCAGTGTGTCATAAAATGACTTAACGAAGTAGCTTTACCGTATGTAGTCAAGCTAATTTAAAAATTACCATTGTTTTGATAGGTAATATACATATGTTGTCTCATTGCTTGAAGCAAATTAGTTGTTTATTTTCTTGTGATATATTCTAAAATAAAATAATGTTATAGTAAACATGCTTTTTATTACCTAACCTTTGATCCTCCTGCGCCGACGGTACGATATTTCTGGAAACTTTGCCATGTGGCACTCTCTTTTAGTCAACCAATTAATGTTTGCAACTCAGAACATTGAACATTGTCCAAAAATAATACTGGTTTTTAGAAATATGTCCAAAAAATGTGGAACGCTTCACGATTTTGCGTGTCATCCTTGCGCAGGGGCCATGCTAATCTTCTCTGTATCGTTCCAATTTTAGTATATGTACTGCCGAAGCAAGTACACTCAGTAAGAATGAAATTTTGTATATATACAGAGCAGGAAAAAAAACTTCGATACCGCGATTCAGGTTTCCATACTTTCGTGGTCATTTGTATGTAGCTGTCAAAACAACGCCATCTATAAATGACACTTGTAAACTATTCGACGCCATCTTGAAATACAGGGTGACGCATGCGTAGTGGAATATTTTTGGAAATCGATATCTCGGACAAAAATAGTGGCAGACTGCCGTATGTGCAAATAAAAAAACTCATATAAAACTAAACTAATAGCAAATTCATTGTATGCTGGTAACTTAATTATTTTGCTTGACTTAGTTAACTTTGAGATTGTCAATAGAGACATTGTATTAAGACAACAGAGAAGGACCTAAGTGTGACCCTGATGCATTAATCATAATAAAATAGATCATTTGAGTTAGATTCGAATTAACAGTGTAGGATATAACTTCAGAACCGTCGTAAGAGTTAAAATGAGAAACTGGATTAAAAATTTTCAACAGTTCCGCAGACTGACAGAATCAGATGTTACGTTTAATATCACACAAGTCGGCCGTTCTGTGTAGTGGCAGTAGTGGTTCTAAACGGACTACTACTATGCCGAGAGGTCTCGGGTTCGATTCCCGGCTGGGCAGAAATTGAAATTTCTGTGACGGGTCTGGGTGTTACTATGTATAATGTATTAAAAAAAAAGTATTTATGTAGTATATCCGTTAAGCTAGCACCCATAACACAAGCATATTAATTGCTTACTTTGGGGATAGATAGCGCTGTGTGAAATTGTCCAAAGAATGTCGCTTAAAATAAAATCTGTAATAAATTAAAAGAAGTATTATTTTAAAGTATTTTTTATTATATAGATTGATCATACATGTCATTACGTATGACTGAAAACAGGATAGAAGAAATAGGTAATTACAGGTTCATTGGGATCATATTATTATAATTATAGGTTAACAACAACAGTACATCAAATATTTTTAGCAATACATTCCATAATCCCCGTCAATATGGATTCGTACAATACGTACATATTTACTGCTAGTGATTTCTGTTTTGTAGAGCTTCATCCCCATGTTTAGAGTGACCTAGGCTCTTGAAATAATCTGAAATTTTACACCTTTATCTCAGCAGGACTTTACTGCTAACGTAAAGGCTAGTTGGAATTCAGTAACTGATTAAGTATATTTCAGATCATCAGGCACTATAAACGATAAAGATGATACTTTACAAAACAAACAGTAGATACCTTACCAGTCTAAGATAGCTCTTGAAGAGGATTATATCACTGTACCTACAATATTACATTGAGACAACCAGATCTTTAAATGTTGAGTTATAGGGCAACGACAATCCATGATTAAACTGTACACAACATCAACTTTAAACTACGAATAATTCGAAAAATCCTGTTTTGTAATATTTTTGTATTTTGTATTTTTTTTTTGTATACTTATTTATCTTGAATAATATTATTTTATTATTTTTATATTTTGAAGATAAGCATAATTTGTCATTAAATAAATACACAAAATAAGGATTGCGATATCATTTTGTAATATTTAAATTGTTTTTTGTTTTTATCACATTTTAACTATTTTTATTATAATATTTACGAAACTTGATTAGGCTCGGATCTTCGTCACTAAATTATTAAATGCAAATCAAATTGTTTAATTGTTGGCACGGACAAACAAATGGTCTCAATTGCAATCCTTAAAATATGTTCCAAACATTGTTTATAAATTTGTGACTAGTATTTTAAAATATTCCAAGGATTCAAATGTTAAAAATGAAGTTGATTTACATGAACCTCACAGGCTAAATAAATAATGGTAAAATAAAAACCCATTGTTCCAATTAAAACACAATCTGAACCATTTGCGCCGCGTCGCTGCATCAAGCAATATCATTAAAACAAAAATTATTCTACTACATGAGAAATGTAAAACCATACAACTAACTACGTTTAATACAAGTCATAAATATTAAATATCACATTAAGCTAATGTCAGTTCAGTCAAAGATTACCAACTACTTTATTCCCACTATGCCAAATACATCAGCGAAAATAACTAAATACGTTTACATCAGTAAAGTCAAATGCATGAGGTAAGATAACTCTGGAGTATGGTTAATTCAGTATGGTATATTGAAGTTGAATAGGTATTTTTAAGAAGTGTTAATTTTAGACTATTTTTATGCAAAACGTTTGTATTACCCTCGCCAGTAAAAATGCAACATCGATTGATTTACTTGTCTTTTTCAGGGATAGATTATATTACATTATAATATAATCTACAATATTAAGATTTTAGAATAAATGTTAGCATTGATATCCTACAATAGATAGATGGATCAAGTTAGAAAAAAGGACTATGCTAAGTTGGCTTCACTCTAGCAAAAAACAAGACGCTCTGTAACAAAAGGATAGTGATAGGAAATTGTAAATCTGTTGCATTTATGTACTTGACATGAACAAGAGTTATTATTTAGTTAAAGAAGAAATAATTTAGAGTTATCTTTACGAAATGAATGGTTCTTGTAAATAATAATAATTAATCCCACATTATAGTGTGGTGTTTCGATTACACTTATTTACAGTTTACAAGATCCTCGTGAAATGCGAACGAGAAAACGAGGTAGATTGAAACATATTTTGTTCTGTAGACAATAAAATGAAATAAACAAAAAATATCTCTTTTAAATAGGAATGAGACGATTTTGACCTTTTTACATAATTCATAATCATAATATGCATTACTTAATATTTATATTACAATTTGATTTTACATACTGGTATAATAAATCATCATAAAGCAAAACATTTGTATGTTTTAGCTTTAAGCAGCCACTCTATACATTAATACAGGGTGGATTTTTGAGATGGGGTAATAAACACATTTACTTTGACCGTTGCAACTATAGGATTATTTTTTTTAGAAAAATCTTGGTATACTGCAGACAGAATCTTAAGTCATTAATATTTCTTTCTTGTAGCTAGCTGCAACGGTTAAGATACTTGCCCTGTATTTCAATGAAATAAATTAATGAATTTACAGTGTAAGAATTCTTTGCTCTCTGTAGCTCAAAAAAGCAACACTCAGGCTGGGTTGCACCATCTTACTTTGACCGTCAATAACGATAACCGCTGTATTTTGTATGGAGTTTGACAATTTTTTGATGTTTGTCAAAGTTAAAGTAAGATGGTGCAACCCAGCCTTAGTGTCAAAAAAAACTAGAACGTGTGTAAATTTTTGCAATTCATAATAAACCGTCAATATAATTGTTGTGTAAACCATCGCTATGGATAATATATTTTACGATAAGATTACATTAAAGCTTAAGACTAACAAATTCGTGAATGATTCCACAAAAAGAGCATATTCACTGGGAGCATTCGCTTTGCAAAGTTCTGCGAATCATTTTGTTGACCAATCAGTTTAATGAATGTGAATTTAGCCACAGTTTAGATACAGTTCAGGCTAGGAAATGGGGTGTTAAACACAATCTACACAAGATCTATTCAGAACGCAATGTTGTATAGCAATAGAAACCATGAAGAAACTTTTACAGGGCTGAAATGAGGTAGAAGATATTGAGAAGTTTAGTGCCTTGCAATTATTGGTTAATTACACAATTTCTTAGGTGCCTAACAAACGCTCGCACATCGAATTATTGTAAAGGGAATGCTCCCGGTGAGTATACCCCATAAAGATACAATTTAAGATGACAGTAGACTTCTTTCGAATCTAAGCGCTAATATCACGTAGGGGACATGACTTACCACACTGAAAGTATTTATTCCTAACTAAAAGCAAACCCAAATCTGACTAATGTGATGCGAACGTCAGTTTCAAAGATATTATAATATCTTTTGCAGATAACTTTCGTATGAACTAGCCTGTCCCCATAAAATCTATGAGACTTCACACTCATACTCCAGAACAGTCTTGTGGTAGAAGAGCAGGTACCTGAAAATAATTAAACAATAATTGATTAAGTACACGTAAGTATAAAAATTGTAGCTAAAGAAATCTTTACAAAACCTTCACTCTTCAGAAAAACACAAATATATGAGGAGAACTTGTGACATTGGCTTATTTTAATACTCATAAAAAGATATTACGTGAAAAATAATACATATTGGAAAATTCTGTATAAAAAGTGTAAGACATTAGCATATTTACAGACTATCTTTATAGACAATCCAACATTTTCACTGTTTATGATAAGTGAATAAGGTTCAAATTATGGTGGTCATAATAATGGAAAAAGTCCTGTAAAGAGTTAAAAAGAAAAAAAGTAAGGTATAATACCCACCCTTCACTATCTAAAACCTCGCGCAGAGACGCGCGGGTGATCATGTGGTCGTCACACTTGAACCAGCTGCCCTTCATCTGGCGTACATAGGCCGTGTAGTGGCCCGCGTCCAAAGAACCCAGGTGGTTGACCACCGCGAACAGAGAGTAGCGGTTGTCCTCGAATATTCCTTCCGGCGCGTTGTTGTTATCGGCCGCGCCCACATCGACCGCGCGACGGTGCGTCGACATGAACGGGGTCATATCCAACTCGGCGGGGAACGAAACGAATGCGGATATCTTCCTGTCGATTTGCGACGAATGCTCGAAGCGTTTTAGGTGGAAACTGGCTACTATGGGCAGTGTTTCGAGCGTCAGTTGTTTTGTGGATTCGCGGTACGCGCGGCAGTTTGAACACTTGATCTTGGCAGCAGAGCCGAGATGCTCAGCGCGAGTGAAACGTTCTAAGCAGGCTTGAAGGGACCCCGGGCCGGCCACGTCGAGGCTGATATCCCAGAACGGGTCGATGGTGGTGGAGACTCCGGAGCAAGACGTGCAGACGACATCGCTCTGCAGCCCGCCCGTGAATATCTGATCGATGATGCAGTTGCAGCGCACGTTCTCACGCCGCTCGGTGTCTTCTACGCCGTTCATGCAATGCCTGGAATTAAAAGAAAAAAATATGAAGATACTATAAACTTGTATTGAAATTAGTGTTGCCGATCGATAGTCGACTATCGATAGACTATCGATAGTCTCTCGATAGTCAAACTATCGCAAGACTATCGATTGGCCTATCGATAGTATCGATACTGTCGATACTATCGATACTATTGTCGCTTTTGAATAAAAAGCTATCAATACTATCGATACTATCGATTGTTCTAGACTATCGATAGTTTGGCAATTTACAATAGTATCGTTTACAATATTTGGATATAATAGTCAATAGGCACAACAATAGGGTTATTGGAATACTTGAATTATTTCATATAGTTAACCATAACATTTAATTATATGTTTCCAAAATTGGCAATACATTTTATTTGCCGTATTTAACTGATGCAGGTAGTTTTAAATACAAGTGAGATCATTATTTTTAGTTATATGTTAGTTGGTAAGTCAAGCGAAACATTTGAAATATTGTAAAAATGAATTTAAACATACCCAATACTATTGCAAATTTACAGACTATCGATAGTCTAGAACAATCGATAGTATCGATACTATCGATAGTATCGATAGCTTTTTATTCAAAAGCGACAATACTATCGATAGTATTGCACATATTCAATAGTATTGCCTCGTTTTGTGCTATCGATAGTATCGATAGTATCGACAGTATCGATACTATCGATAGGCCTATCGATGGAGAAGGCTTTTTCGAATGAAAACTATCGATAGTTTTACTATCGATAGTTCGGCAACACTAATTGAAATCGATTCCGTAAAATGAACGATGGAATCTGATGGAACTCAGTAAAGAAGATTAAGCGCCTTTTCCCCACTTGATAATAAATAGTTTGAACCAAAGTGACTGGCATAATCCGCGGAATCGCTAAAATCAAGTGGCAGTGGGCGGGGCAGGAGCTGATGGCCGCTGGGGCAGGAAAGTTCTTGAGTGACGATCACGAGCCGGAGGACGTAGCGCGGGCAGGCCTTCCACTAAGTGGACCGACGATATGGTGAAGGTCGCGGGAGGTGCCTGTTTACGAGCGGCGTAGGACTGGTGTTTGTGGAAATCCTTGGGGAAGGCCTTTGTCCAGCAGTGGACGTCTTTCGGCTGAAATGAACGAATAGTTTGGCAGATAAATTACTACAGGTACCTTAAGAACCCTGTAAGATCAATAAAGACTGACCGGTGTAGCACGTAGCCCGTAGCCCGGCAGGTGGAGCTCATGACGTCACGCTGCCAATGGAAGCGACAGCGGCGTCTTGGCGCCGGAGTAGAACTCATGACGTCACGCTGCAAGTGAAGCGTTGGGTACGCACCGGTGCAGCACATCGAGCGTCGCGATGAAGAACTCGTGCGCGTTCTGCTGCTCGTAGTGGACCTCTGATGACGTCATGCTGCAAGTGAAAGCGTCAGCGGTGTCTTGGCACCCTAATAGAACCCATGACGCCACGCTGTCAAATGGAAGTCAATATTACTGACCGGTGCAGCACGTCGAGCGTGGCGATAAAGAACTCGTGCGCGTCCTGCTGCTCGTAGCCCGCCACGTGGAGCTCGTGACGTCACGCTGCCAATGGAAGCGACAGCGGCGTCTTGGCGCCAGAGTAGAACTCATGACGTCACGCTGCAAGTGGAAGCGTTGGGTACGCACCGGTGCAGCACCTCGAGCGTGGCGATGAAGAACTCGTGAGCGTCCTGCTGCTCGTAGCCCGCCAAGTGGAGCTCGTGACGTCACACTGCAAGTGGATGCGTCAGCGGTGTCTTGGCACCCTAATAGAACCCATGACGTCACGCTGTCAAATGGAAGTCAATATTACTGACCTGTGTAGCACGTCAAGCGTGGCGATGAAAAACTCGTGCGCGTCCTGCTGCTCATAGCCCGCCAGGTGGCGCGCGTGCGTCCAGATCAGGTGCAGCAGCCGGTGCAGCGTCAGCGGCGTCTTGGCGCCAGAGTAGAACTCATGACGTCACGCTGCAAGTGGAAGCGTTGGGTACGCACCGGTGCAGCACGTCGAGCGTGGCGATGAAGAACTCGTGCGCGTTCTGCTGCTCGTAGTGGACCTCTGATGACGTCATGCTGCAAGTGAAAGCGTCAGCGGCGTCTTGGCACCCTAATAGAACCCATGACGCCACGCTGTCAAATGGAAGTCAATATTACTGACCTGTGTAGCACGTCAAGCGTGGCGATGAAAAACTCGTGCGCGTCCTGCTGCTCGTAGCCCGCCAGGTGGCGCGCGTGCGTCCAGATCAGATGCAGCAGCCGGTGCAACGTCAGCGGCGTCTTGGCGCCGGAGTAGAACTCATGACGTCACGCTGCAAGTGAAGCGTTGGGTACGCACCGGTGCAGCACATCGAGGGTGGCTATAAAGAACTCGTGCGCATCCTGCTGCTCGTAGCCTACCAGGTGGAGCTCATGACGTCACGCTGCCAATGGAAGCGACAGCGGCGTCTTGGCGCCGGAGTAGAACTCATGACGTCACGCTGCAAGTGGAAGCGTTGGGTACGAACCGGTGCAGCACATCGAGCGTGGCGATGAAGAACTCGTGCGCGTTCTGCTGTTCGTAGTGGACCTCTGATGACGTCATGCTGCAAGTGAAAGCGTCAGCGGCGTCTTGGCGCCCAAATATAACTTATGACGTCACCCTGCTAAGTGGAAGTCAATATTACTGACCGGTGCAGCACGTCCAGCGTGGCGATGAAGAACTCGTGCGCGTCCTGCTGTTCGTAGCCCGCCAGGTGGAGCTCATGACGTCACTCTGCTAAGTTGAAGTCAATATTACTGACCGGTGCAGCACGTCGAGCGTGGCGATGAAGAACTCGTGCGCGTCCTGCTGTTCGTAGCCCACCAGGTGGCGCGTGATGCCCGAGTGGACTCATGACGTCACGCTGTCAAATGGAAGTCAATATTACTGACCGGTGCAAAACGTCGAGCGTGGCGATGAAAAACTCGTGCGCGTCCTGCTGCTCGTAGCCCGCCAGGTGGCGCGCGTGCGTCCAGATCAGGTGCAGCAGCCGGTGCAACGTCAGCGGCGTCTTGGCGCCGGAGTAGAACTCCTGGGAACAGGACACAAGTGTTATCCATTAGGTGGGTCACGACTTGCTATACGTGATTGCTCCCATCTCTCATTCCCATCACTGCAACTCCTGTTTATCCAGGAAACAGGATCTATAGATCGTTTCATCCACGAAGGCGCGCCCCACCATTCTTCCGCTAATGTTTGAGTGTTATCGGTACACGCTAAATTATCGATTGCTCGGTCCAAATTCCCCGCACCCCGCGTATCCCTCAGCCAAAATTAGTGGGGCGCGTCTTCGTGGATGAAACGATCTATACAGCTTGACCGTCAATAAAAACAAAGTTCTGGGAGATAGTTGAACTGTCATAAAACCCGAAACACAAAAGTATTGAGTGGTTCACGAAAGGGCAGTGACAAAATTATGGGGCAATGAGAACAACGTTTGAAAAACACTGGTTTACATGCATGCAAATTGCAAACGCTTCGTAGTTTGTGGTATACACATTCCAGGAGTTCGTTGGGCTATGCTTGTGGATATGTGTACAAGTGTCATCTGGATACAAGAATGCTGCATAGTTCCTTTCAAATTCAAATTCAAATTCAAATATATTTATTCATAAAACATAGGTACAAAGGGTGATAATTATAATTGCAGTGAGCTCTATAATGTTATTTGTAATGTTATTTCATATTCTACTGACATAACTCAGCGAGACAGCGAAATACACAAAATAAAAGGCAAGGAAAAAGAGAGAGACGATAAATAGTCCTGTCATGGTTGCAACCTATAGTCTTGTAATACCAAATATTTCACTATCCCTATACAAAATCATGAGAGCTCACCTGAAACAGCTTAGAGACCTCGCACACGAGGCATTTGACGCTGCTCTGCGCCTTGCACTTGTGTTTCTCGCCGAGGAAGTAGTCCCGGAGCAGTGGAGTGTGAATTAGTGTCTGCAATAAAAACGGCAATATTACATTGGTTCAGTGGGTAAGTAATTATACAACCTACAAAGTTAATAAAATAGATAATCAAACAACATAATATGCTGAGCATGAATAATGAGTCTATAAAAGATAGGCATTATTGAAAAATCGTACGGTATAAATAAATATTTACTCTCATTTACAGGATTGAACCCGATCACCTTGGTGCGCTTAATGGGATAAAATCCGGAACTAGGTCATTCAGAAAAAGACCAAAGTAAATGGATATAGTTCCAACAAAAATGTAGCAAACTTATGTGACGGTGGGCTGGCCATATTTATCGCAGAACCGACGATGGGTAGAGTTGGTTAGAGAAAGGATTCTGGAATGGAGATCACGTCTCGTCAAACGGAGTGAAGGATCGTCCTATTCGAATCATTCCTTCTCGATGGATCGACGACCTCAAGAAGATAGCTGGATTAAGAAAGCAGGAGATCATGATTTAAAGCAATCTTAAACTGAATGATGATGACCTAGACTAGTTCGCTATAGATCGAAAGAAATCTTTAGACTCTTTCTTTAATTGTTTAACTGTAAGCCTAATTTAATCAAACATAAAGATTCTACATCTGCGAACTGCGAATGTGCAATACGATAGGTACAATAGCTGCTACAATAATAATAGTGGTTATGTCTGGTTATACCAGTAAAGTAAGTCCTTCCCCTAAAGTTATTTATAAACGAGGTCACAAAGTAATTTCGCAGAATACACGTGTAAATGTAGATTTAAAAAATATAGCTTATTGCGTTCCATGGGACATTAGACTGGGGTCATTGCATCTTTTTATAGCTTATCGGCTTTATCACTGAGCAATCACGATTCACGAAAAATTCTGTGTGGATTGATATCGCAATGATTGAGCATGAGAAGTGCTGATTTTAAGCAAAAAATATGGTATGGAAACATATTTGTGCTCAACAAAGAAAGATAATACATGGGTTAAGTACCCTATATTACGAAGTCAGCCCATCGGAGCAGAATGCGTTGTCAATTTACGCATATGGCGAGCGGGGCGGAGCTGATTGAGTGCAATATGTCGCGTCCAATATGCTACGAAGCGTGAATGTAGAAGGCAGAAAGACAACTTAAATTGCATAGTAATACGTAACAGCTCTGCTATTACATCTAACAAGTCGTATGGATTGGATGGAAAATTTTAAAGGTGACTCGCGACATCAGATTTTTATTTTACTAACTTGTTCAATTTCTACGTCGCAATCAATTTGAATACTCGGTAGGTGTAATCTGGGATTTACTGCGCAAGGTTATGAAAAAAAGCGATAATTTGATACACATTCTACCTATTCCAAGGTTCAAAACTTTCCACAGACATTACACATATCGCAGACAGACTATACATAATAGTACGTCGTAGGTACTCATATGTTGTGCCGCGTATTATTAAAGGACAATGTTCGTTCTCCATACATTGTTCGCCTAAGAACCAACAATTTTGACATATTACTACCCGAAAGCGAAATAATACGATTCTGTGTGTAAGAACAATGATTCCTGATGGACACTTGCCATAAAATTAATGATTAAGAATATTAAATCACAGCGATTTTATAATATGTCGTTTATGACAACATGGCGTCTAATGTATTGTGTGAATGTATGAACACCGATTCGCGAAAAATGTTTTGTATTGTCGTCACGCCGAGTCGCAGCCAAATAGTATAAAATAATAGAACAAGTTTTAGAAATACAACTCGGCATTCCACTTTTATAATATGCCCACATATTTTTAGCTTTTAACGCAAATCTAGTCTTCAAAGCAGTTTAATCGATTTATTTTATTTTCAAAATCGATATTTTATTGTCTATGATGGCCGCAGGAACATCACTATACATGGACTCCCAGCAATAAAGTACGGTAATGCCTCGTACAGATTTTATCGGCAAAAATTATGGAACTTGATAGGTTTTAGACCATGCCACGCACCAAAACGTCCGGAAGTTGTAATAGTATTATAGAATAAACGTTAAAAGACTTATTTATTTAATTTTTCAATGCTTAAGTGTCCATTAGAATGAAAGGGTGCTTAATGTATTAAAAAAAATAGAAAATAATTATGATGGGTTAATGTTTTTGGGCGGTTTTTTAGGCGGTTTCTGACAATGTCCTTTGAAAGCCCCTTCAAAGGACATTAGACTAGGTGTCTGTACATTTCCACTGTAGTGATTTACTTCGCAATAGCTACAATACAATAATTTTAATTGAATTCAGTTAAAATATTAACTTCTATGAAGACATCAAACAATAAATGAAACGTTTCATTGACTATCCAACTAGCTACTACTAGCTAGCTGAACATAACTGTAACTAAGCTTAGTAATTTGTCGATAGGTAATCTAAAAGCGCAATTTCTAACGAAACATAATAGAGAACCTGTAACAATCAAAACTTCAGTGGAGGAACATTTCTTTGGCTTTAATGTTGATGATTGAAAACGTGAATAATACAGTTGTTTATTACTCTGAATATTTATCTGGCAGACAATTACGAACAAAATTACCTGTTTACACCATGCTACAGGATAAAACAAAAGCTTCATGTTAATTTAATTACAGAAGCTTTTCCATAAGAGGATTTACGTAACTAACAAATGCATATATGTGCATTGTGCACTATACGATTCGCAAAGCGAGGCTGAAAACATTTTGGGAGCTTAATTAATTCAATTATCGGGAACGCTACGAATGTCATGGAATACATACACTGTAAATACGGCGCAATATTCCGTCCGTAGTTTGTACGGACAGTGCGCCAAGTTAAACATTATGACATCTTGTATCGTTGTAATAGCGACGATATTGCACAAAACCAATAGTTTTGATGTGCTGTCGACTATGTATATGCAGGCACAACGGTCTTTGATTTCATTCGACCAGGAAAATCAATAACTGACGCTGCAAATAGATTCAAAGTTACAGGGAAAACTGAATTTACCTAGGGAGCGGGATTTAATAAATACGAAGCAGTACCACGTACATTGCGAGTGGAAAGCAAACATCCAACGTCCTTTCTGGGAAATCTAAAGCTTTGTAACATAACCTTTGGAGTCTAGATAATAAAATTTCCAGGCATTTCATTATTGCATTTCGTTGTAGAGCTGCCCATGTGGGCGTTTAATTTTACGTCGCAATAAAATTCACACAACGATGAAGCTTTAAAGCAAACAAGATAAAATTTATTGAGCTCTCAGTTTAAGCTTTCTTTTTAATAAAGATCATAAATCACATCAATCAATTAGTTTTAAAATACGTATTTGATAAAACATAATAATTATTTGTCTTCAGTTTTATAGAAGTTCTAAATTAAGAAGTATTTAAGTACAGATTCTTTAGAACTTCTATAAAACTGAAGAGAAATAATTGAGTATTAAATTTCAGTTAATTTCGGTTGGAATTACAAAAGTTGGTCCTCCTTAGTTTGTATTCGTTAAATGTTTGCTGAAATAGAAAATAAATGGAGCTTATCATTTGTTGCCCTTCAAGGCTTCAGCCCAGACATTTCAAAATCGATGATTTGTGTACCGTCAGCCATCTTTTTGAACAAAGAATAACGATAAACCTAGACTGCGCTCAAAAGTTCAATACCTGAGAACCTGCGTTGTATGATCGCTCTGACTCCTTACATTTTTAATGAGCATTATTAACTCGCTATTTTTAACTTGAAGATTGTTTGCGACCCCGTTATCGACTACAATGTGAAGTTTGACAAATGCTGCGTACTTTGTCATAACTACGGCTAGCCAAGGAAAGTTTTATTTGTTGGGTTTCTTCACGTTTCTGTGGCAAATTTAATGGAAAAGTAGGTACCGCCAACAAGCACCTACTTACCTATCTGAATAACCCAGAGAGATAATTTCATACAGATTGTGCTGCGCAGTTTGCCAGCGATGTTTTATAATTTGCTCGGTTTTATAAAATTCGAGACAGTAATTTCCATTTAGCAATCGTTGAAAGAAATAATTTAATTAAACTTTTACTTTCTACGATTTCCATGAACTCGTACAAAAAAGGCTTTACCGGGACTGAGAAGGAAGTTTTATGGGCGCTTTGGGAATTGGTTTCTATAGAATTACACGTGCCCGCATAAATATACATTTTTACAACATCATTAAATTGGAGTCGGTATCCTTTTTTTATAAGTTATCGTTTGTAATGTTGTGTCACCATCAAATCGCGAGGGCTTTGCCAACTTGATTTAATGATCTGTTAAGCAAATACTAAAAATCTTAATGATATTTACTTACTCTTTTAACTCTACAAAAATGAAAGCTTTAGTTTCATAATCTCAACATTTATAAATATATTTGAAAAATCGATAAAGATCAACTTTTAAATGGAAAGAAAGCTTCTTAAGTAGCCTGAAAACAAGCATTAAGGAGCGTGCTCGCCTTAATCCATCTAAATCTTCTCAATAAGAATATAAAAAAAGATAACCATTATAAAGGCTAATGAGAATTAACTGTCATGGTAACCTATTATTATTTAAACCATCTTACCTTCTAAAAACCCTTATTGCCTATAATAACCGAACGTCTTTAATAGCTCATTAAGTTCTCAAGATCAAAACTGAAAGAGTTCAAAAGGGCGTGGGAGCTGAAAGCACAAATGAATGACGTCACTGCAATAATAATGACGTAGGTGGTCTGAAAGATAGTGTGGGCGCCCGGTGAGAGTCTGAACCTGGAGAGAGCGCAGGGGATTACATTAATTATACACATAGGTAGATTTTTTATCATGAGTGCTCATTAGTTACACTGAGACTTTATTCATTTGGGTCCCTAAGATTTTTCTAGCTCAAAGGGAAAATGCGAGCGAAAAAACAGACCGGGAGAAACTGTTATTCTCGCAAGGTTGGATTTTCGGGTGGAGTTAAAGTCTTTCAAATTAAAATCCGCTGCCGATTTAAATGGGAAACGATCAAAATTATTATTGTCCTCTTTTTAGATATCAACTCGGTCGGGTGTCACAAGAAGAAAAATGTCATCCCTATCTCCAAGAGTTACATTCAGAGTCACAAGTTCTCAGCCCACAACTAAGTTGCTCATATCATTATTCATGACCCACGTACAGCATAAAACGTGCAAAATACGTGTAGAATATGTAGCCTGCTATTTGTCCTCCAAAACGGAATCGCAAAAATCAATGTTATTCATGCAAATACACGTGTGCTTGCAGTGAACGAGACGCGAATGCCACGAGAATTGAAAACTAGCCCGGGCTCGAGGTTCGTCGCTATTTTTATTGAGCAGGCTGTTAGTTCTCTCTTTTAGTAACTTAGTGGTAGTAATAGTGCCGATGAGGAATTAAGGTTCTTGAAGAAAGGAAAAGAGTAGGGATGAGGGTGTCGTGTAATTCAGAAATAATAATACGAAAGTTACTTTTAAAAAGGATAAAATTCAATGCTATTAGTGATTTGGTTACTGATATGACCAAGCAGATTTTTATATTTTTATTATCATTCGGGTTTAAGCGTAATATTTCTTATATCTGTTGCCCAAGAAAACATTAGGCACCTGGAATATTATTACCTCTGACATTTATATTACCTCTGAGCTGAAGGTTTTCTAATCGATAGCTAGTTATTGCGCAACTTCTGAGAAACCGAAGCCGAAGAAGATTTATTTACTTAAACGACATTGCCTCTAATTCAGAGGACATTTCCATTAATCATTGCTGAGATTGAATACAAGAATTTATTAATTACTTGTATTCAACGGTTTAGATTTGCAGAATATTCCAGCAATTTCCGTTCAAAGTTTTCCAGAGAGATACAGTTTAATGGTCCGAATGGACTTTAAACACGTTTTGATTGACGCAAAGTAATTGAATTCAACGCGTAATAAAGTGAGCTCGATTGCAGAATCGATGCGGCCAGATTGAGGAATGTGGAAGCAGGAATTTAATTATTAATGCTATTGTTATCGAAACTGGAGTAGATAGACGATATACCACACTATTATAACTGCGCGCACTTTGAAAGCTTACTATGATCATTAGGAAGATTATTTGTACGTAACAATGTCGTAAATTACTCCATCTAACTTAGTAATAAAATAGCTTTGGATTTGGAAAATGAAATAGAGAAAGATTTCTTGCACAACAAGGGTTGTAGCCTTGGACGAATAAACCAGTTGTAGCTATGTCAGCAATCCTACAAATCAACTGCTAGACATATTAATGCCTAATTGCCTACCTATCACATAAATAAATTATAAATATCCCGCCAAATTCGTATTTAACAACATAAGTAAGGAAAGAGTCAGCCACGGCATTGTGGAGATCACGGAAAAAATGGCGTCGTAATAAAATTCCAATTAGGAACCGTCTTAAGTTGAAAACCCCAAGTTAGAAAATTTTTTAAGACGTAATATTGAGCAGAACCCCCTGGTCTTGATATTTTAATAACCCTGAAGAGTTCATCAAACATCTTAACAGTACAGACAATGGCACATAAAGCCAAACACAGTGGTATCTTAGGACTGGTTTCCACCAAGGCTGGTGTTATGAATAACCAATCAGATTTCATTATTACCACATCTACTCTCCACTCCGCACAGCTCTGTTCCGCGCCGCGTTGCGCCCCTTCCGCTGTCAAATTCTATAGAAAAATTCTCCGCCACGGTCCGTCTTGGTGGAAACCAGGCCTGATGCTGTTGTAATAGAGGTGTTATTTTGTAGTAACACAAGTTTTTCATTTGATGTGCTGTACTGTACATAAAAGAAAATTAAATCTATAAATACCTGCACAATGCAGTTCATGAAGCAGGTGGAGCCCAAGTTTTGTAGCCCCCGGAGCCCTATGGTTGTGTGTGGGCTGATGAGGCGGCGCTTCCGAAGTCGCCGCAGCGCTAGAGCCTCGCTGGTGTTGGGCAGCCAAGGCATGAATGGCACACTTATGCCCAAAGACCTAAGATAAAGTTTAGTGTTAAACTACACAATTCTATTATGAATAATATCATATTGGACTTTGCTTTATCTGCTAGAAATGTTTAAATAGTAATGTGTGTGAATATTTTCATAAACTTGTCTTTTGTGCCTACATTAACATTGGTGTAATTGTGTATTTTTAAGTGACTTGATACTTATCTACCCAGATTTTAAAAAAATACTGGAGTGCAAGTCATTCAGATTTAATTTAAAAAATGTAACTAAATATTCCATTTCAAAAGTACCTGGAAGCAGGCAGCACAGGACCGGTCGTTATGGAAACCCTTTGCAGAGCAGTGGACGTCATTTGGCTGAAACGAACGATTCTATTTCTGATATTTGGCCAGTAAAATACTATCCATGGTCCGTAGAAACTTAGCACACAATATATTCAATAACTATTCAGTAACTACGTCATAGAAATTAACTACATTGTAGAGTTCAAGCACCTCAATAAGAATGAATACTAAATATGTAAAAATAAATAACAAAAGTAAAAGTATACACTTACTTGGCTTCTTTAAGTCGATGATTCATCCCAATCTCAGTTAACTCCCGGTCATAGATGTAATCTTGACATTGTGTACAGAAAACATTTCCGTAGCTCAGATCAATGTATAGAAAGTGCTTCTTGGATTTTGAATGTTCTTGAATGTGACCCGCATAGCATGCAAAGTAAATGCAGTGAAGGCACGAGTGCATCCGGGGCCCCGGCTTGCCACAGGCAAAACAAAGGCATGATGTTGCCTGTGGAAATTGAAAGCTCATGTAACATCACATCAAGCTAGTGTGTGATATCTTATGATGATCTAAATCTAATAGGCTATTGGTAATTGGTAAATGTATGTCTGATGTGCTGTTGACTGTGCCTAACTCCAAAGAAGATTAATGGCATATAAATTGATATTTATGGCGAACCTAATGCCTTGGCATTCTATGCTAAACTTCAGGTTAAACAAATTACATGTTTACTCTTTATAATAATTTACATCCTTTGTCATCATTGTATAAATACATACCTGACAATTTAAGATACATACTCAGTAATCTGTTTGTCTATTAATGTAATTTGTCGTTAAAATACTGGTCAATGAATCACGCAACACAACAATGCGACAAAAACGATACGATTCCACAAACAGCTGTTCCGAGGTCAAAGATCACAAAATCAGCTGATTAACCATGTTCGGCACAAATAGATGAGAAAATGTAACGCAAAAAGGCCGTAATATGTACCGCTACATAACATTATAACAATGTATTCCAATTTATCAAACTAAATACATTTTAGCGTCTTGTAAAACGTCAAATAATATGACCGATGTTTAGGATTTTATACCACCCTTAATTTCTACACTTACCTTGTAACGCCTGGCTTCCAAAGACGTACAAGACACAAAAAATGCATGCACAATTTTATATGGATTTGTCCCCTTGGCAGCCTTAAAGTTATTCAAGTGTATGCATCCATTGTCATTCATTATTTCGCTTGAAATTATTACACCGGCTTGCAAACACACGATCCTCCTTTAATTAAACTATTTAAATGAAAAGCATGATACAAACAAGTGGTTTGATCACAGGGTTTTATGGAATTTTGAGAAGACCCGGTTTTATTTTGATACGAAGGACAGATGATGAATGGTGTTGGTTGAGGGGGGCGAGTTCTCTTCTCTCAAAACTCGACTCGACTCGGCCGACTCGCGATTTGGCAAAAGACAGAAAAGAAAAATACTGGCCACTACAAAAATAAAATAGCTAAACTAAATTTGTTAATGGCAACATTAAATTTCTATTGTCAAAAGTGATGTGCCTTTAAATTGAAATTTCAATTAGATTATCATAATGATTAAATGAGATATTGCGTATTATCATCAGATTTAGTGAGTGTAATAGTCCTAAAAACTTGGCAACTAACGTCCAACCTAACCTAATCAATCAACGTCATCGATAAGTAACAAATATAATTATGTATTATTATAAAAATGAATAAATAACAATAATTATGTTTGATATCGATGTATTGATACCGATGGCCTTTTTTTCTAAGGAGTTGCAACAGATTCAATTTTTGATTCGATCACAAAGTGCCACTTTTATAAAGTAATAATATTGTTGAGTAATGTTGAGTATTCAATTTTTCCCATTTGTGTTTCAAATAATAATACGTCACATCACTATTGAAAATGTCGCCAGCTTGAAATTATATTTACCCTAAAACGGGGTCTCCAGTGCGTGTTTGCCCTACAGCGTAGGGCCTACACAACAAAAACAACTTATAGTATTTTATTATTTATTTATTTATTGACAAAGATCTACCAACAACACAACTTTACATACAAGTAATGCATGCAATGATGACAAGACCAAAAGATGTGTCTTTATAGGTAAATACAGTTTACATACAAAATAAAAACTTGACGACCGAAAGTACAATACTAAAATATTATGTTTAAATTAGATTAATAGTTAAATTACATTCCACTTATCTAAACATTTCTTCTTAAATGAGTGCACGCAATCATGAAAGATGTCGATGTCGCTATCTTTTAAATCGTTGTATGTTTGCATACACCGATGTAGGGGAGTATTTATTATGTTGAACGTTGAGATGTTTTTGTTCATTGTGTAGGGAAAAACACGCGCTGGAGACCAGGATTTACTCTTGCTATTACTCCATCCATCCACCAGTCATTTTGACCCCCAAATAAAAATAAGAATAGGACGACCCGCTCCCCCCCCCCTTTTTTTTTTAATATTTATTACGTAAAGTGGCCCCGAGACGATAAATCGCGATTGTCAATTCTACGTTGTTGTCAATTATTATTAACATTGATCGTTTACAAAAGGCATTGAAGCGATTGTCAATTGAATTTACGTGATTGAAGCAAATTGATGATAATTTTAATTGAAGCCATTGAAGCTAATATTGATCGTTTCGCTGAGCAATTGCCAATCGTTTCCGTCAATTGGTCGCAATGAGGGCTATCGTTTTTATACTTAACAGTTGGCACCCCTGGCGATTGACAGGACCTTACTCTACAGTGGCGCCATCTTGATGAGTGCAAATACGATAGTCCTCCTACCACTTTCGCGCTCACCAGTTGGTGCCACTGTCTTCGCTACTTGCAAGTGACAGGACCTTACTCTACAGTGGCGTTAACTGGTGAGCGCTAAAACGATAGCCCACATTGATCGTCTCGGGGCTGCTTTATTAAATCCATAGTACAAGCTTTGCTTAGTTTGGGACTAGAAGCGCAAGCGTAGTGTAAAATGTCCAAGGATATTTATTTACATAGAGGAAAAAGTAACACGTTTGACGACTAGTACACAAGCGGGGAATTCCCGGGAAGCTCAGTGCTGGTGGAGCGGGAGAAATGGAAATTGTTTTCCTATTCGTCGGGAGCGAAACTTGCCACTTGCGTGGCGTGGTTGCCTGCTTTTTTTTCAAAGTATGATTTTAACTTTGTGCATTTTTGTGATCTTGCTTAAGAACTATCAAGAGCAAGACTCCCTTCCAACTCCTTGTAAGAAAATATAAGACAAGGGTGACCGCTCTCCTTCCTAAAATCGTCTTACGTAAATAAATGAATGGCCCTTCACGATAGTAGGTACTACCTACTAGGTAGTAGAATCTACAATCCCTGGGCTGAGCAGCAGGCCTTAAGGAAGGTACATACATTAAAAAAAATGCTAAGTGCTCTCGAAACGTTACAATGGCCTCATACTGAGCCTCTGCTCAGTAACCATTGTAAAATTGGCCTTTGTACAACAATTCTTTATGTTGATTTGTATTGTTTTATTTTTGGTATCAAATAAATATTTTTTCTTTCTTTCAAATGATGAAAATAATTTCCCTAAAATAAAGGAAAGCGTTTAATGTTGGCAGGCCCACAGATATGGATTAGAGGGCAGGCCAATTGACAAACTGACAACAGCTCTTTTACTAATGTTGCCATATTAAAAAAAATCCGTATAAATCATTATTTTTCGAAGATAAAGTGGTTTCACTTATTTTATTTCCAGTTAAATAAAGCGCAAAATTTTAATAATGTTCACTGCACCGAATAACCAACAATCAACAGAAAAGTGAATGATTGATAAAATTATAAAATCTTTGGTTTCTTCAATCAGTCAGTCAGTCAGTCAATTTTCGTAGTAAATAAATATGGCCGCCAGCCAGCAATAACGATGTAAACTTTGTTTATTGTTTCTTTCTCCTACTATTTTAGAAATGATCAGTGAATTCGAAAATTTGTCCCTTGGTGGAAACAATGCTGCAAGTAATCATGGTGATCCTTTTACTCATACAGGTATGAGTCACAACAGACTTAGAAAGAGTAGACGTAGAACAAGTTGTTTTTCCAATTATAACGTGACCTCAATGGCTTGGGTTATTGCTGTGTATCTTTAGAAACACTATTTTAAATTAATTTCAGAGCTGACACCTGAGCAGCAGAAGACTTTGATAGATATACGTCGAAGGAAGACAGAGTTGCTGTTAGAGATACAGGTGAGTTGGAAAGAATCGTTGGCTTGAATGTACCTAGCTATTACTCATGACAATCTCTACTCCAGTGTTCAGATCCTGTGACAACATTATGATATCAGAAGATTGGTTAATCTGTAAATGAATAACATAATGTAGAACTAACTTAATCTCCAACTTTGATGCATGATAACTTTCCCAAGCCCTTGTTTGAAAGATTGTAAGTAGCTATTAGGTTTAGAGATATTTACCAGTCAATTATTTTGTTAGATGTCACTAGTACCATTAGCAAATACCTACTTTAAGCAGTAAGTACTTCTGTAACTTTAGTAGTAAAATTAGCTCAGCTACTAAAGTAATTGTCTCTATTTCCTATGTTTTGTCTCTATTTCTGGCAGTGACTCTATTGGCTCTAACATTGTCACTGTGATACAGTTACTTGTAGATATGAGTAGATAAGATTTGTTAAATCCAGTATTCCATTACAATCTCTATATCTATCATTGAATTGATTGTAATATTTTGTTAATATCATTATGGCAAGGTGGTACGTTCATCACTCGTACACCACAAATATTTAAGAAATACACAAAGTAATGTAAGCCTTATGCATAAATGCATCACAAGTGTAATATAGGCGAATGACATGAAGTTATCAGTTGTACACTAACCTCTTTACTAATAAAAAGTTACATGTGGGTTGAACAGTTGTTTAAAACACCATTTCCATACTCAATGCCACTTTAATGTAGGTTTCTCTTATAACTTTTATTATTAAGGAGGTGAAAGTTTTAGAGTATGTACCGATTTGTGCCAGATTTAAAACTGCTTTGAAACAAGCCTTGATAGACTATACCTATGTCATAGGCGTACAATGACACCCATAACTTCAGTCTTATTAATTAGTACTGTCTCATGTTGCCATTATGAGGTAGGGAATCCTGCTAAATTCCTAGTGGTTCCAGCCAAAAGTGAATGACAGTGACAGTACTAGTAGACTAGACTAGGACTACTATTTTAGAAGCTTCTACAGTGTACATAATGTTTTTAAATAGATAAATATTCTTGAACATTTTCTTGATGGCATCTAGTTCTTATTTATTCGCAAAGCTTTTCTATTTTATTCTTGTCTTAGTACTTGGTTTTATGAAAATATTTACAAACACTGCACCTAGAAAACATTCAGACCAATGAAACATGTTTGGTATTGAGTCTGTGACCTCTGTTGACGTTCTCAATCTGGACCTATGACTTTGCCAGTAGCCTATAAAATGTGTGGAGCTTGAGTTAGTAAATCTTGTATGTAAACACTATAGCTACCTATACCAGGGAATGAGTGAATAACTATTCCTAAGAGATATACAAGGTGGTCAACAACAGCCCAACTAAAATAATATCATAATTTTAGAAGCAAATCAATTAACTACCATTAATATGTTTATTATGTGTTTGTTTTATGATGTAATTGTATTTTGTTTTTGTTAATTTATCCTATGATATTTTATAGGGGACGCGTGCAGCATCCCCCATTAATACATTAGCAGAATAAATACGTCATTATTATTAACGTGCCTCCCCTAACTTCAATTCGAATGTTTAGCTAAGCAATCCTAAAATCCGCAGAGCCGGGGTTCATTCAATACCCGCGGACCAGTCTGACGTAGGTCGTCAATGCATAGCTTACTACAGCCCGGTTGTACGCCGCTCAGTGACTGTGGAGACGCGGCGCGGTCACGTCGTGTTGCCGCCTCTCGCGCCGGTTAACAATATTCCAGTAACCAAAAATTCATAGTGCCGTGAAACTACAGTTTGCACATACTAGTGAAGTGCTAACCAAAAGTCAGATACTATCACGTGTTACGCGTAGTGTTATCTGCAGTAAGTTTTCAAGTGATAAGGATAAGTGGAAATTGCTATGACTACGCCGTCGGGCCCGCTCGCGGGATTTATTTGTTGTTGTATTATTATTTGAGATTGAGCCACTGAACGATGTCTGTGCTCTTCACAATGAAATTCGTCTCCCCATGTGGAATTTGTCTCTGCCTTGGTTTTATGCAATAGACTGTTTCGTCCCTCTGTGTAATATTTCAAACTATTCTTCTTTTTCTGTATTTATTATTGGGCTGTTACAATTATTTATACTTATGAATTTTGAACCAAAATATTTTATCACACTCTCTACATATATACCTACCTACTTGTATTAAAAAAATACAGGGTGTGTACTTTAAAACAAACCAAAAATTAAAAACAATCCTGAATCATTGTTTGTTGAAACAAACACGTTTCAAACCAATGTGAAACAGGAAAACATATTTTGGATTTGATAAATCAAAGCAATTTCGTACAATTGTATTACGCTCATTTACCGGTTAGGTCATTATTACTGACGTCGTTTAATTAGCTATTTGTTGTATGATTCATTTGGTGCTTCTGTGATGAGTGATCACTGATTTTTTGTATTTTATTATCTATTACGATAAGGAGTCAATTATATCTTATTTTTGTAACGTTCATTATCATAATTCCAAACTCTATTGTTTTTCGTTTGTGTCAGTAATTGCCAAAATTCTAACAATCTGAAGTTCACATTACTTACCCAATTATTTTCACAATTTTCATCATTAGTTAGAAAAATTGGTCATTTTTCAAAATTTTCTGGCGGATGTGATGAATAATTGTAACATTAATGTAATAAACTACAGTTGTATACTAAGTTTCTGTCTGACTCATTCCTGAGTTGCGGTTGTGTCCACTTTCCCATGGCCGGACAGTGTTCGCGATTCATCGCGTTATCATGTTTCCTCCCCTGCTTCCGCAGAGTGGTCAGCTCTGATAGCGCAGCTTTCGATAAATTGTATCAGCAAAACATGACGCTAACCGGATAGTTTGTTGGAAAACAACCTATAACCGATAAGATTGGCATCACGTCAATGGGTATCCGTATCTTATCCCTATGACCAAATTACAATGTGATCTGGTTTATGGATAAAGTATTTTTATCCGAAATCTCATTCAATAAAAAATGTGTCAAATCTTTGTTATTTACTTTACCGATTGTCTAGGTTCGGATCGAGTCTTGTCACACGCGCAGAAAGATAACCGCCGTATCTACGTTGTTATTGTCACCGTGCCAAAACAGCGGTGGCGCCCGCAACTATCTTCAGTCGAGTGCGCACCTTAGCGGGAAGTGTATGACGCGCGATGTGTTTTCATGTCCGGCTGCTGTGCGGCGCGCTGTGGTGGCCACTGCTGATGCGGTGCGCCCGCGCCGCACGCACCTACGACGACGGCTATGAACAGGTTCGTCATCGACGCAGCTTTCTGTGCACTTCGCATTGGTTAAAAGTTCCTTTGTTGTTACATTCACTCTCAATTTTGGCAATCATTTCAACGACGCGGAGCAACCGACGGCGGCAGTCATGCATTCTTCTACTTGTTTTGCTTCATTATCTTTCTTTTTTTTAATAAGTGTTGTGGGCTTTTAGGTAACGTGTGGCTCCTAGCTTTACTAATATTAGTGTACTGACTATCGGCGGTGTGTGATGTGCACTGTGCACCGGCACCTGTGAAATGTTCATCAAGGCCGGGCCGGGGACGGCCGAGCAGGAGCGCCGAGGCTCGGTTTCCAATTGGTTCTCATCGCTGCGACGTGGTGCTGGACGGCGTAAGCGTGAAGAATCCGCTGTGCCCGCCAGCTATGGCTCGTTAGGGCGGCGGAAAGATGGCACTCAACCGCGAGGCAAGACCAGATCAGCCTGGGACCTTACCACCGTCACGAGACTGGTCTGTATCACTCATTATCACAAAATGGCAATTCGCCGATGGCATACTGCGCTGGAGACCGCTTTTGGCTTTTATCCAAATCTACTGGATCGATCATGGTCTTTGCGACTGCGTGCAAAATGATGACTCCACGAGTTTTGCGTGCTGGAGTTATTGTTTTCACGATGACACTGCCGCCCTTTAATTACTGTGCAAACATTTATTGTTTTTAAATATTTATACTTTTGAGAGCAGATTGTTCGATAAGATATTTGAATTTAGTAATTATCACTATCGAAACGATATACGCGACAAATATGATAGCCGTACGCGGAGTGTAGTGACTCATACACGTGTGATATTATTTAAGCAGAACTTAAGTTCATTTATGATGCAAAAACAAGTATCGTGTTATACGTTCATGGTTACTCTTTTAATTATTTCTATGTACGCTTTTTCCTAAGTTCAACGTAATTAATTATCGCGTTATTACACGCGCACAACGGAGCTTATGTGGTTTGCAGGTCTGTGAACCGTCAGCCATAATGATTTTATAGCGAGCATAGCCATTAGGTTGTGTTTCTTCCGTTGTCAACGTATCTTAATTAAAGGCCATTTTTTCGAAATTTCACACCCACTAAACGATGCAAGTTACACCATCTTTTGTGTTGTTATCCAATTTTTGAATACATTATTTTTTTGAGCCTACGCCTTACGCCGTATGTGATTAAGAATTCATTGTGACGATGTAGGATTATTAGGATTACTTATCCGGACAGTTAACCAATTTCGGCAAAAAGGTCACACTTTTAACATATTTGGTCAACAATTTATCAATGTTTTCGAAGAATTTAAGCTTAATTATAAATTTCTGCCTCGTTCAAATGCTGCGTGCCAGGGACTGCGTCTCCTCTGTTGACACAGACACATAATAGCGTCCACTTGTGTTACAAATGTTTAAGTTAATCCCCCTTGTTGATCCATAATATCATGTTTGCTAGTTTAATTAAACAGCTTTATACATGATGTCCAATAAAGTTCAACTGGACTTGTGTGACACCTCAAAAACCAACATAGAGGAGAAGAGTTTTTCGATGGATGCAACATGGCTTTTGAATTCTGATTTTAGATTGGCGCCTTTCTTCTTGGTATTCCCCTAATTGATATTTCTCCTAAATAGTTACTCCCACAAAAAACCCTGAGCAATTAATTAGATGATGATTCAGATTCCTTTTTAAAATTAAACATTTTAACTTACTCATGAATCCTAAAATTAGGGAATATTTCCAAACACTCCCTACTATCCACTTATTTGAATAATTTTTGTGCTGCAACGTTGTTTGCCTATAAGTAAATGGTGTTCTCAATACTGTCCATTGTCGCAGAAGGCGGCGTGACATCATTAAACAAGCAGCAACTGTATGCACAACTAAAACAATGTTTGGACGACCTAATCATGTGAACAGCACATGTGATACAAATATGTACAAGTATGCATCCGCCCGGGTCAGGATTTGCACTTGTTTACACTGGTTTAACAGATATTTAAGATGTCATCTGGCTGCAGACTAAAAGCAGCAGCAGAAACAACAAAATCCGACAAAACATCTAAGAGCGAAAACTTTCTGTTCTATCATTGCATAGATTTCTTTACTATACCAAGTTGCTTGGCATAAATTGATTGTTATTCAGTGCAGACTGAAAACCATATTCAGTTTACTCATGTGACTAAACAGAAGTTGTAAGACACAATACGAGGTTGTTTTTCGTGTGCTAATCAATTCCCACATGTTTGTGGTTGTTGTGGAAACGGATAGCTGGTGTTGTCTTGGTTGGTTTGACGAAGTATGTGCACAAGTGTTTCCGCATTTCAGTTTGTAAACGTGACTCACTAGTTAGTAAACCTCTTTATTGGCTAAGTCAACGTTTACATTACATGCCGGCTATATTTTTACACTAATTACTAAAATATCTAACATTTCTAGTAAAAATGTATATGTACCTACAGTAATTTTATTATAACATTTAGCTTTTCTCTATTAGCTCGTTTTTTCAAATCAGTATAAAAGAAAGCGTTGTTACCGTTCATTGAAAGTTATAATTAGAATCGGAGAACAAAAACCCTGTCATTTTTTCAGGGGCTGAAGAAAGCTCTGTACGCCGGAGATACATAATAGAGTTAATTAATGTAGCTGGTAAACCTCCTTTATAAACTCCACGAACCCTTTGTGCCTGGATATTAATTTGACGCCTCTAACTTTCGCTTTTGTGTTATTAACTTGGTAATGTGGGGTCGTATTTGGATCCTGTCGCTTTATTAATAGCTTTCCGAAATTAAATACGACTGTACCTAAAATTTAAATTATTATTCTCCCCTTTTTAGGGTTCCGTAGCCAAAATGGCAAAAACGGAACCCTTATAGTTTCGTCATGTCCGTCTGTCCGTCTGTCCGTCTGTCCGTCTGTCCGTCTGTCCGTCTGTCCGTCTGTCCGTCTGTCACAGCCGATTTACTCGGAAACTATAAGTACTACAGTGATGAAATTTGATGGGAATANCCCAAAAGACGCTACGATCCATAAACAAGTGTCTATAGCTGATAGAACAGCATACACGTGACAAGCAATATCAGATACTTTTAGTGTCATGGCCATGTCCCTAGACACTCTTAGTGTCATAGCCATGTTCTTAGATACTCCCAGTGTCATGGCCATGCCGTTAGATACACTCAGTGTCATAGCCATGTCTTAAGATACTCTCAGATACACGGTCTCTCCTTTTCATCTTCGTCACTTTAGATTAGGGTAAGCAGCGCAAGAAAAATTAGACTTTACGTGCAGGTGTTTTAAAGGGACTCGGTTCCATTATCCTGTCACCTCTCCTTTTCATCTTGGTCAAGGTCAGGGTAAGCAGTGTAAACAAAATGAGACTCTACGTACAAGCGACTCGGTTCCATTGTCCCGTGAGCCTCAAGGTCATAAGCAGTGCAAGCAAAATGCGACTCTACGTGCAGGTGCTTTAAAGTTCAGTTCCATTGTCCCGTGAGCCTCGCGTCAAGTCGGGCTTCAAGCCGCCGCCGCTGAAGGAGCGCGAGCGCTGGTCGCAGCTGTTCCACGCCTTCCTCAAGCTGGCGCTCACCAAGAACCCCAAGAAGCGGCCCACAGCCGACAAGCTGCTGCAGGTCGGTCACCCATCCTGCTACAGCCATGGAGACAGGTGCTGTACTTCTAACCCAAAGGACACCAGGCGATCTGTCAGCTCATTTGTCTCAGTGTCTATAGCTCGCGCGCCACCAAGCTTGATCGTCAGTTGTTCAGCTGTAGTGTCTATAGCCAACAAGCTGCTGCAAGTCGGTCACCCATCCTGATCCAGCCAAGGCGATAGGTGCTGCACTCATTATGAGAAACTTAAAGGACGATATGGGCTGATGGATCGTATCAGCCCATGTCAAGTGTCTATAGCTGATGGAGCAACACGATGCTGACAAGCTCCTGTACGTTGTTCAGTGTTGGTCACCCATCTGGTACAACTATGGTGATAGATGCTGCTCTCATCATGAGAAACTGAAATGATGCTACGATCTATCAGCTCATTTCAAGTGTCTATAGCTGATGGAACTGCATACGCGTGACAAGCAATGTCTTTAGATACTATCACTGTCATGGCCATGTCCTTAGACACTCTCAGTGTCATGACCATGCCCTTAGATACTGTCAGTGTCAAGGCCATGTCTATAAATACTCTCAGACGCCCGCTCTCTCCTTTTCATCTACGTCACTTTAGGTCAGCGTAAGCAGCGCAAGCAAAATTAGACTTTACGTGCAGGTGTTTTAAAGCGACTCGGTTCCATTATCCTGTAAGCTCTCTCCTTTTCATCTTGGTCAAGGTCAGGGTAAGCAGTGCAAACAAAATGAGACTCTACGTACAAGCGACTCGGCTCCATTGTCCCGTGAGCCTCAAGGTCATAAGCAGTGCAAGCAAAATGCGACTCTACGTGCAGGTGCTTTAAAGTTCAGTTCCATTGTCCCGTGAGCCTCGCGTCAAGTCGGGCTTCAAGCCGCCGCCGCTGAAGGAGCGCGAGCGCTGGTCGCAGCTGTTCCACGCCTTCCTCAAGCTGGCGCTCACCAAGAACCCCAAGAAGCGGCCCACAGCCGACAAGCTGCTGCAGGTCGGTCACCCATCCTGNCTCTTTCAACGATTTTTGGTTTGATCAAAGTATCTCTTATAGTTTTTGAGATAGGTTGATTAAATTGACATAATAAGTTTATTATATTTGCTGCTACGGAACCCTTTGTGCGCGAGCCCGACTCGCACTTGTCTTCTATAATACTAATTTACCTTATCGGGTCTATTAAAATAGTTGGTTTTGATAATACCATTACCAGAACCACTGGTTTCGGTGCTTGAGTGTCTTTTGTATGTATTTACTATTTTGTATTACAGTAGTGTACTTTTCAATTTAAATAACCGATGTATCACAAAAGCTTCCGTCGTACAATGTTTTTGTCTGCTGTAGACGACCCGTTGAATTAAACGACCTACCCGTATAAAGGAGCCGACCATGCATGACGATGAATGTTTTTCTTTCTATGCTGGCCTATTAGTTCCACAGTGATTTCGATGTGGAACACATCGTTGCCAGGGCAAATAATTACTTTTAAGTTAATGAAAATATTTCAACTTAAAATATGAAGATATTCATTTTGTTACAGCGTTAGTAGATCTTTACGGTACGGTAGTCAACAACTAAAATGACCCTTGATCCTGGTTTTCTTTCTTGTTCAAGGTGCAAGAGGTTTTTTTTATTTGGCGAAAAATGCCAACTACTAAAATGCTAATTTCAATTCTAATCAATATGCATTGTTGGAAACTATGATGCAAGACAGCCGTGAATCAAAATTTCTACATAAGTTTCCACTGCCGCCAGGAACTTGGACATCAACATTCACAGTCACACTATTCTGTTTGAATGTCTTCACACACAATGTTTTGTGTGTCAAGTGTCCTACCCTACACTACTTTGTCTCAGTTCTAAACAATATAACAGTTATGCGCAGAATCGAATGGAGTTGACCTTAGATAGGTATCTGGACTTGCGTCACCTAACGCTAATGAGGTCTATTAGCTATTCCATGACACTCGCGTGCCCCACACATTGACACTCCTTCGCAAATTTCCGTGGTCCACTTCTTTGCGACACGCAATTTTCAATTAATTGGAACAGTTTTGTTGTATGACCAAATAAATTACAGCATCTGAGCATTTGAATTCAAATTGATGCATCGGCGTCGGAGTTCTCCATTTTCGTAACGTGACACAAAATTGTTAGATAAGAGCATTATGTATATAAATGATGACATTGACCAGCAGATGAAAACACTTCAATTTGACTGAATTTCAGCATCGTTCATGTTGAATGGCGACTGTTTAAATGTGCGAGCTGGCAACGCATGGTTTTATTGGTAAAGCACTCAATGCCAATAGTCAATGAATGGGAATGGTCCGGGAATAGCATCCGTCAAGACATGGAGAGGTGCCTTGACCTTGCCCGGGGGAGGGGCGTAGGCCTGCGAACCGAACGTGGTTGGTACGGTCACTGACTCGATCGGATACTTAGTTTTGTTGCTTGTTGTGATTTGCGACCGTCTACGCTGTTACAAGTGATAGATTATAATCAGCTTTTCGTTAGAATTTGAGAATCTAGTGTTTAAAGGTTACCTTAGAATGACGCAGTACTAGAATGACGTAGTCACAGATCGGAAATTTTACCTAATCGGTCAATAGAAACAGAGTCAGTTTCTGGTTTCGTTGCAAGTCTTGCAAGGGCTACCAAATGTAAATCGCCTGCAGTTTGGGGTCAGTAAAGTGGATCCTAAATTGCGATTTTATGTTTTACTGCAGGTAGTCTTGTCGCTACTTCTATTGTTCTAAACCGAAGCATTTAAAAGTAATGTTTTTAAGTGATTTCTCTTTAGCAATCAGTACAGACGGTACTACGCGTTGAGTGTCCGAAGTCTAGTAACACGCAATAGTATTAAGTGCTACCGTCTCGTTCCGGGAAATACTAGTACTAGTTAGCCAAGTACAACGGTATCTGTTATATAAACTTTTTTTAAGTAGACCGTTAAAAATCTCTTGACAAATTTTAACGCCTATCGGAACCGCGAAAAGATTTATCGGATTATTCACTGATTATGACACTAGAAATCCCAAGAGTTTGCGGTTTCGGCGCAAAGTTTTTGCTTTACCAATGGCGATTACTATGAAATATTTAACCTGATTTCTTCCAAAGCTTGAAGATAAATAACGTTTATAAAATTACAAAACTGTTTTCAAAGCTCCCATCTGTTACATATTTACAACACGAAAGAAAGAGAAATGGTTAAATTGTATTTTAACACGTCCAAGAGAAAATAATGTAGTTCCAGCCTGACACGTGACAAGAATTTCTATAAGCCAGCCTATTTCAAGATTGGAGAAATAAAGATGCAATCGTTTTACTACATTCACGTTGGTTCCTTTTCTAGCTGAATAGAAAGCCACGTTTGTCAACTTTTTTAGCGGGTAACTTTCTTGGCGACTTGCCAGTTTTTGTACCTACTTGGCTTGAGCCCTTGCCGGTTTTTGTTTCGATATTTTGTATGCATATAAGAGAATCGTCTCTTGCCTTTCTAAACAACACCGAATTTATAGGTCTTCAGAATCTTGACTCCTATAGAATTTTTTTGAAACTATTACGGTGTAGTGTAAGCAATAACAATAGAAGGCAGTTACCTCACTAATTCACTGTAGCATGCATTTATTTCTGAAGAAGAGACGGGGAACATGGTTGGGATTCGAACAAAAAACTAATCTACGGCTCTACATTTCGTTTGTAAACATTTGTCTGGTTAGCTCTTGAGTCTGTTTTTTAAAAGGAATATTTGAATATGGAAAAAATGCATGAGGCTGGGACCACTGGGACTATGAAATCCATTCTTTCAGTCAGTAGCTTCATTACAATATTATCATTGTGACATTTACTTATACGGCAAATACCTTATTGTTTAATTGTACTTACCATAAATTATTCAAGTATTCAAAATTTGCGACATATTATTTCACATGAATTCGATGACACATTATAAGTAAATATTATGCCATGATTCACGCTAAATCATGTCAATTGTGTTAATATTCAGCTCCACTGTTTGTCAGAAATGAAGCTTGACATTTGCGATGCCATTACGAAAGTGGTTTTTATCAGTGATGCGCAACAAAACAAATTCACTTTGAATGGGGCGTTCGTCGTCATTTTTGGGGAGTGCTAAATGCTCTCCTAGGGGCACTTAATGGTCTTTTGAGGACTACCAAAGTAAGTTCTAATTGCGCTGTGCAATTCCGTTAAAAATGCCAGCCACTCACGTTTGTGGCGGGGATAATTTATTAGAAAGCTTTTACTCGATTGCCCTTTTTTGTTGTCAGTCCCAGAAAGACTTGACAAGTGGTCAACATACCTACGCTTCTGTCTGGGTCATGTGTGTGTACATCTGTAAAAACATATAGCTAACCTGCTTACGAACCTTTTTGAAGTGTTACCTACGTTTCTCTAGTTTTAACTGAAAGACATTGACTACAATTTACAATCTTACTATGTCTAATCTTGTCTATCGCACACAAGACCCATGTTCTTAAAATACACACACACAAGTCGTTTGGTGATCTTATGGTGTTATCAATTTGACTGAGTGGATGTGTCACATGTTTCAATGATCTAATTTTAACACCGACCTTGTCTACTCCTTCGTTTGAATTCTTCAGTTAGCAATTGAAATTGTTGTTTCAGGCAGTAATTAGTGACACGGAATTTGATTTATTTTCTCGATGACTGACTGGAATGTTGAACGTAAATGAAATAAGTAACGGAAACAACAAGAACATTCCGTTTCAATTAGTGCCATTATGATTTCGTCAATGATTAATTGAGCAATTAAGAAATAATAAAAAGTACATAGCCACATAACTATCGAAGTTCAAGAATGTTCACGGCCACGGTCGCAGGCAGTGGATGGTTACACAATAACACATGCCCCGCCACATGGCTTCTTTATCATATCTCACATGCAACTTGAAAGTAAACAACGACCAAAATATAACCTCTTCCGTTAGGTATCAATATTCCTGTATCTGTTTATTATATATCGTCATACATGGATTACAATGTAATTTATAACGTCTAAACTAAATTCATCGTAGCAAATTCTAATCAAGTTTTGAAGTAACAACATCGTTTGCAATTAATTCTCTTTGTATGTATCTGCGTCGAGTAATTGCCTTTCGGATCAAATGGAAGATTATCCTTCTTACGTAAAGAAATTAATGGTTAGCAGGGTACAGCTACTGTTCGTGTGAATTTACATTAGCAATATTAAGATTTCTTGCCTATTTCGTAAATTAGCTTTTGTTACATCACAATACTATATTGTTGATCAATCATCAAAGTTATTGTCTGAATTTTTGATTCGCACACAGCATAATATAAAGCAATCGTGGCGGAAAGATTGCACGTCATGTTAGGTAATACTTCATCAAACATTTGTTTCTGTAACCCATCTCACTTGCCGAAAATGTTAGGATTCGTTTTGGGTGTGATTTTATTAGCGTTACAAATTTCATCAAGTGTCTGCGGCGTTCTTGAATTAGTCGGGGGGCGTTGCCCGTACCCTTGCATGTGTTGAGCCACCGCTCCCATACGAACTGTCTCATTATTTCCCTCGGCGAATATAGGTTTTTTTTACTCGCATCCTCTTGCGTCTCTGACCCTCGTTCGTATCGGAGTATAATGTCGACGGACATGCTACTCGTTTTATTTGTTAGGAAGTTATGCTTGGTCATTTAATTGAAATGAATTGTTCCCTCGTTCAATAACTTAGTGCTGATGCTCCTGAGAACTAACCGCACATTGTTTTAGTTTTCGAAAATGACATACATTTTAATAACATACTTTTTTGTACTATGAATCGTCTGAATAGTGGCTTTATTGTTAATCCACGTTGAAGGTTAATAATAGTAATCCCCTTCGATTACTTATTCTTTGAAAAGATTAAACTTTCACATTAAAAAAAACCCGAGCGGACTGCGTGTCAATTATCGAAGGCAAAAAACTCGAAGAGCATTTGGAATTCTATC